TTTTATCCCCTGCCACACCTTGAGTTCTGCTCAGAGCACCCGAGGTACTGTCTTTCTCAAATTGGAATTAATAATTAATATAAAAAGCTTGAAAAAAAAAATCTGAATTTTGTTACATAGTGTAATAACTGTTTGTAGATACTGTTCTGAGATGTAGGAATCTATTGGTGATATAAGAGGTTTTGTCTGTAAATAATCAGTTTAGAGTCCAAATGATTTTAATAAAGAGAATTCTTACACAATAATTCAATAAATTTTAATATACAATTTGTGTGTCATGCTTGTGTTGTGTGATGATGCAGTTGCCAAGAACCTATTCACCTTCCCCCTGGAAATTGTGTACTCCAGGGCTCCGGGACCTGGGAGCCGTGTCCCTCCGGCCCCCGCCACAGCCTGCGAGATACGTCCTGTGTTTCTTTGAGATAACCCTGTGCCACCTTCCACTGATGGCTCCAGAGCTCGAACACCGTCCCTGCCTTCGCCGGTGAGGTTCGCTCTCCTGCCGGTGGGCACATCACGGCTCTGCTCCTGGTTTTCCACAGTGGGGAAGCAGGGAGGAGGTTGTTTAAAGTACAGTTTATGTTGATCATCCACCAGCGTGAGGCAGGAACCGGTGTTCCTAAATTAGCAAAAAAAAATTAATTCTTAAACTAATTGCACAGTTCTTCCCAGACATAAAGCTGGCTCTGGGCCCATCTAGCCTGTCCCTCTCTCCACCCCCCTCTCCGTTACTGGCAGAGTTTTGGACACAGTCTGCTTCTCCCGGCCCCAGCCCATGTAATGTCACTGCTGTCGTCCCTCCTCTCCCTGCCCCTGTCGGTTCTTGCTGCCCTTTTAGGGGTTACAAATCGCTTGTCCCCCCCGGGGCTGCCCCAGTGCCGGCTCAGCACCCAGCCGGGTGCAGCCTCTGCCCCCTCCCTGGTTATTTTTAGTGCGGGGAAGGCAGGTGAGAGGAGAGGGGCACAGGCAAGGGGGGAAGCGCTGGGGGAGGCCCCCACCTCGGTTTGGCAGCCTGGATCTGGGGCAGCGTTAACCCTTTCCCTCCGGCTGGGGCTGGCTC